TGGAGTTCTTCTTGGAGTCCCTCACTGTATGGGTGGACCTAAGCTGATCACAAAGATAACCAAACAGCCTCTCCTTTGAAGCTTCTTCCTTCACAGTATTTTGAGTATGCATCTGTTTAACATGCAGTCTCCTTCTGAGTCCAGAATTCCAGAAGTGGTAATTAAGGACATTAAGATGTGGTTGAGAGATGGTGAGGGAGAGGTGTGTATTTTTTATGCTTGAGGTTTTAGAGCGATTGGCGAGTGTAATTAAAGCAAAACTCTGTACTGCATGAATGCAAAGAGAGTGCATGAATAGTCAAAAAAATCCAACAATTATGGGCTCATTTCTGTAGTTTGCACATCTGATGGCACTGTACTTCATATATCCAAACCTTACTAATTTTGCATTTTCTACAAAGCAGGTTTGGAGGAAACGTGGAGTAGGTCAGTGACTGCAAACCCACAAAACTGGAAGGAGGACTGAAAGGAACTTTGCATGGGCTTTGTGGGTTAGTTATGACTGCTAGCCTTAACGTAATGACATTTACTCTTATAAACTTCAGACAATAGACTACTGTGTAAGACACTGAAATTTGTCTTCCTCCCTGTTTCCTTATGCTAGCATTTGGATTTCCATGCTGTTTTCTCTGTGCTTCAGCCCACCAAAGAATTTTAGGCTGCTGAAGGTCAGCAATAAGGCAGTGCCTTGGTGGTCCAGGTGGGAGGCAGAAGAACAGAGCTGACCTCACTTTAGCATGGGCAGCTGCTCTTTATTTTGTTCCAAATGAAAAGCTGGCCTTGGAAAGCTGGATTGTGAAACTTCTAATAGCTCATAAAGCATTCTTCTGAACTCATCTCTCCCTGTCAAAGCTTTCTGAAATCTTGCTGTTTGGTGTTTTGTCACAAAAATTGACTCTTGCTGCTTGAGTGTAATAAATAACTGTAAGTCAAAACAAAATGCTTGCAATTTGCTAGAGACAACCCATGTTAAATAGCTTAAAATATCACTGTGTTATGATCTGGACTATTGCTGGGAAGGTCTAACTAGTTTCCTTGATTGGAAATATCTTGGTTATTTAACATTTTATCTTGGTATCTGTATACTATAGTAGCAGATAGTGCTGGAGTAGAAAGTATCATGTAAAAAAGCCAGGACTCTTCCTGAGGAACTTTTTTTAAATTCTGGAAATAATAGAAAAGATTTCATAAAAGCATGAAGTTGCATATCTATTAAGTTCCTTTGGATATGGCAGGGGGGTTGGAACTTGATGATCTTAAGGTCCTTTCCAACCCTAACTATTCTATGATTCAATGTGAATTTACTCAAGGTCTCAATTAGATTATGGAAAGTTCAGGCTATTAAGTTAAAGTAGCCCCATTCATTACTTTTCCAGAAATGTTTTTGTCAAATGCCTATGTAATGTGTGTATTTATATGATGCAGCATGTATTTTATGGATATTTTTCTGAACTGCTTTTATGGCTTTTGCCATGGAAATATGTTAGGAACTGGAGAGAGGAAAAAAAAAAAAGCATTCCAATTCTTAAAGAGTACTGTAATTTTTTTTGAGAGAGAATTTGTAGCTTTAGTTTGATGGCTATAGAACTTGTTACAGTGAAATTTGGGTACAGAGTTCATTCAGTAAATCTAAACAGGAGTTATGTGATCTGTACCTTGTACTTTGTTCAGATATTGGACAACTACTATTTATTTACCATCAGTTACTAAAAGACTTTGGCAGAATGCTTTTCTTCCTATTTGCTGTGGGGTTTAAATCCAGACCTTCAAGTTCAGGATGCTTCTTCCTGGTGAGTAGGTGTGAGGAACATCTGCAGATCCTGACAGATCAGCCTGTACCTCCCCTGCAAACCTCTGACATCCAACTTTATTTCTAATCCTTAGTGCTTTAGTCTCCCTCTATACCAGTATCTGCATACACTACTGCTGTCCTGTCTGCAATTGCTTTTTTTTCCATTTTTCCTCATATTGTAAACTCTTGATGTGGAACACTGTCTAATGCTTTGGGACGTTGACAGTTGTGTGGTGGCAGTGATATGGTGGCATTGCATTGCTTGATTCCATTACGTTAAGGAGGTATTTCCCTTCCTGCATTCTCTTTCTCTCTCTAGATGAAGATTTACTTGCTAAGATGAGAAAGTAGGGCTTTTGGCAGAAACTGATAGATACTTTGCTGGGGCAGGTTGTCTTCAAGTATGCAGTTTGGTTGTATGTGTAAGCAGTGTGAAGACCTGCTCTCTGATGTGGTGTTTTGGGTGAATTGCTGCAAGTTACTAGGCTGGGAGTTAGTTCCTGACTTTGCCAAGGTTTGGGGTTGAGGTGGTTGCATTAAACTCTTAAATAATAAACATAAAAGATCTGGCTCTGACATAGTTTTGAAAGGGTGCATTCTAAACTTATTACAAGAAGATGACATACAATGTGGAAATAAGCTGAAACAGAAACTAGTGGTTTGTCTTTCCCTTACACAATCTTCTATGTGTCTTATGAAAATATATATAATGCATAACTTAGGGGAACCTTTGATTTGATGAATTTATCCCATCCCCTACCAGTTACCCATCTTGTGCTTCTCCCCTATTCTGTTTTTCTTGTCACTGGGAAGTAAGAGACACCAAGAGTACTGAGGTTGTTTGTTTGTTGGTTGTTTTTTTTTGGTGTTTTTTTAATGTTTTTTCATTGGCCAGTATAGGTATAGGTGAGATGCCTTTGCTGAGCTTCTTAGAAAGTATTCTGCAATGTTGTTTTTGGAAAGATAATGTTAAAACTGCACTCATGTTTTTTTAAAAGAGAATTTGCCTGCTCATTTTGCATGTAATATATAAAACATACACTGCTTAGCACTCACTACGGTTGTAGTGCCTTGTTCCTACTGGAATACATAAAGTAAAAATAGTTCAATATGCTCAGGAATTGAGACTTGATGTGTCCCAGTTTTCGTTTGTACTACTAATGCTTGCACAATGTCGAACCATCACTCTGTTGGTAGGATTTGATTATTTTTTATTTTCCTCTTAAGCTGTCAAATGAGAAACTGGGTTTTGCCATAGCAAGTTTCTTGTCTCTGAACACAAACCACAGCAGTGTAGCAATAGAAGGGGAGGGGATGTGTTGTCAGAATGTTCACATATGCCATCAGATCTGGGAAAGATATTTTAATCTAAAATGTAGAATTACAGATTGTTAATAATTTGCTTTTAACGCCTGTGTTCATGAAGGTAGTTCAGAATCAGTGGGTTCTGGCTTAAATCCTAAATTCTTCATTGAGTCCTAGTTTTGAATCTTCATAAAGAAATAGGTCTTAACTTTGTAAAGCAGGAAGTTGTAGTATTTATTGCACTGCTATTTGTTCATGTTCTGTGAAGGGGAATCTTGGGATAATAAACATGTTTCTATAATTAGGATATTAGTTATAGTAGATTATCTCTTCATTTTACTATTTCATACTGAAAATCAGTACTTTATATGCTTTGCTAAATAAAATGCACAAAAACAAGCATTAAAAATTACGTTATAGACTTCAAACTCTTCTGCTGCCTTTGTATTTTACTTGATATTGAGGCCTTTTGCTACTGAAGGCAAAAATGCTGTTCTTTCATAGCTGCCGTTTCTTCAAAACTATTATTTTCCTTGGAAGCTAGTCTGAACAGAAAGTGTCTGTCATCTGTGTGCGTGTCTACCAGCAGAACACTGATTTTTGATGTCCTGGTGTCACAAATAAAAAGAGTGTTTCTGGATCTAGACAGAATTTCAGATAGTTTTTCCTGTAGCATTCTCACTGGAGAGGCTTCATAGTAACAACTCAGCTTTTTTCCTCCAGCAGGAATGCCTTGTCTTTTGTTCTTACAACTTAAGTGCATTGTTCTTTTATGAATGCCTTTTCCAGAAGTGCTGTGCGGTTTTTGTTTCTTCTTAACTAAAATTGAGAAAAAAAAAAAACTTGAATTAATTTGTGAAATTGTCTGAATTTCCTAACAGAAGTTAGTCAGGTTGATGTGCAGAGATACAAAGCTGCAATTATCACTAGCTTTGTTACTCCCGTGGGGCTTCATTAAAGTGGCTCCTCTTTAGCTGCTTCTGTTGCCCAGCACCATGAAGTTTGGGATTCAGCAGACGCAACAGATATTTCTTGTGTGTACTATTCCATACTTGCAGATGGAATGTTTAACTGCCCTTTTTCACTGATGTTGTAGCAGCAGGAAGATCTATGTGAAGTCTGACAGACCTAGTATTTAAACCTACTTGTGTGACTGTGATGTAGCAAAAGTATTGAGACTTTTATTGCATCAGCTAATTCATTGCTCTCAGCTACAGACAGGGACAGTTGTATCTCTGAGATAGCATTAAACTGGTGTATTTCTAATATTGCTTAATGCAGTTTGACAGGCAATTAATACTTTAAAATCTTACGCTTACCTTTGAGCAGTGAGTATTGAATATTCATAGAATCATAGAATAGTTAGGGCTGGAAAGGACCTTAAGATCATATAGTTCCAGCCCCCCTGCCATGGGCAGGGACACCTCACACTAAACCGTATCACCCAAGGCTTCATCCAACCTGGCCTTGAACACTGCCAGGGATGGAGCATTCACAACATCCTTGGGCAACCCGTTCCAGTGCCTCACCACCCTAACAGGAAAAAATTTCCTCCTTATATCCAATCTAAACTTCCCCTGTTTAAGTTCTAACCCGCTACCCCTTGTCCTATCATTAGAGGGTCTCTAATGAAGAGTCCCTCTGCAGCATCCCTATAGGCCCCCTTCAGATACTGGAAGGCTGCTATGAGGTCTCCAGGCAGCCTTCTCTTCTCCAGGCTGAGCAGCCCCAACTTCCTCGGCCCGTCTTCATACGGGAGGTGCTCCAGTCCCCTGATCATCCTCGTGGCCCTTCTCTAGACTTGTTCCAACAGTTCCATGTCTTTTTTATGTTGAGGACACCAGAACTGCACACAATATTCCAGGTGAGGTCTCACAAGAGCAGAGTAGAGGGGCAGGATCACCTCCTTCGACCTGCTGGTCACACTCCTTTTGATGCAGCCCAGGATACGGTTGGCTTTCTGGGCTGCGAGCGCACACTGCTGGCTCATGTTCATTTTCTCATCAACCAGCACCCCCAAGTTCTTCTCCACAGGGCTGCTCTGAATCTCTTCTCTGCCCAACCTGTAGCTGTGCCTGGGATTGCTCCGACCCCGGTGTAGGACCTTGCACTTTTCACGGTTAAACTTCATGAGGTTGGCATCAGCCCACCTCACAAGCGTGTCGAGGTCCCTCTGGATGGCATTCCTTCCCTCCAGGGTATCAACCAAACCACACAGCTTGGTGTCATCGGCAAACTTGCTGAGGGCGCACTCAATCCCACTGTCCATGTCAGCGATGAAGATGTTAAACAAGACCGGTCCCAACACCGATCCCTGAGGGACACCACTTGTTACTGGTCTCCAGCCGGACATTGAGCCATTGACCACAACTCTTTGCGTGCGGCCATCCAGCCAGTTCTTTATCCACCGAGTGGTCCATCCATCAAATTGATGTCTCTCCAATTTAGAGACAAGGATGTCGTGTGGGACAGTTTCGAACGCTTTACACAAGTCCAGGTAGATGACATCAACTGCTCTACCCCTGTCCATCAGTGGTCCATAGAAGGCCACCAAATTGGTCAGGCAGAATTTCCCCTTAGTGAAGCCATGCTGGCTGTCACCAAGCACCTTGTTGATTTTCATGTGCCTCAGCATGCCTTCCAGGAGAATCTGCTCCAAGATTTTGTCATGCACAGAGGTGAGACTGACTGGTCTGTAATTCCCTGGGTCATCCATTTTCCCCTTCTTGAAAATGGGGGTTATATTTCCCTTTTTCCAGTCATTGGGAGCTTCACCTGACTGCCATGATTTCTCAAATATGATGGACAGTGGCTTCGCAACTTCATTTGCCAGCTCCTTCAGGACCCGCAGATGGATTTCATCAGGTCCCATGGACTTGTGCACGTTCAGATTTTTAAGATGGTCTCAAACCAGATCCTCTCCTACAGTGGGCCTAGGGTCTTCATTCTCACAGTCCCTGCATCTGCCTTCCAAGACTTGGGTGGTTTGGTCAGAGCCTTTGCCAGTGAAGACCGAGGCAAAGAAGTCATTCAGAACCTCAGCCTTCTCCAAATCCTGTGTAGCCAGTTCTCCCAAGAGCTTCCTGAGGGGGCCTACATTCTCCCTAGTCTGTTTTTTATTTGCTACATACCTATAGAATCCCTTCCTGTTATCCTTAACATCCGTAGCCAAGTTTAATTCTAACTGGGCCTTAGCTTTCCTAACCTGGTCCCTAGTTTCCCAAACAACATCCCTGTACTCTTCCCAGGCTGCCTGTCCTTCTTCCACTTTTTGTAAGCCTCTTTTTTCCTTTGAATTTTCCTCAGCAGCTCCTTATCCATCCAAGGACGTCTCCTGGCCCTCGTGCTTCACTTCCTTCTAGTTGGGATGCAACACTCTTGAGCTTGTAGTAGGTGATCCTTGAATATCCACAAAGAGTTGATATGGTTCTGGTGTTGTGCGTTATTTTGTTTCATTGCAGTGGAAGACAGGACTATATGAAGGATGACCCTATTTTTTTTGTAAGTGGTGGTGTCATCCGTTATTGAAGATAATTTGGAGCACCCGGGCAAATTCTGTTATGTATGTTAAATAGCATATGTGAGAAACACATTCAGGAGGTTCTAGTCCAAAGAAATTCCTTGCATGCCTATGTAGTAATTCAAGGACTCTCTAAGACGAAACTTTCTCTGGCATTTCTGTAGCTTCCTGAGGTTTTTTGCTGATATAATAAAGGACACTTTCAGAAGGCTTATGAGGAAGTAGGGAGAGGGAATGTTGTATTCTAAACTACTTACCTTCATGTTTTTGTTGACGAAGGGGCAAGAGCATAGCATGAATACCAGAATTTAGTTTCTCACCCATTTCAGTTATTTGAGCCCATTACAGTGTCTTTTGTACAGCTGGAGTAATGAAGCGTTCTTTAAGTTTGTTAGGAACATGAGAAAGCCTGGCTGTCTTTTGTTCCCAGAGGGAGGTAGGCATGATAAGGCTTGCGCAGCACCTCTTCAGTGTGTTTTCATCCCTGTTCGCGCATGTTTTTGTTGCCTGTTATTTGGGGAGAAAAGCAGAACAGCATGTCTGTTCACTGGGGAGTTATGAGGTGAGTCCTGGTTTATTGATATGTGCTAGAAGAGTCATATAGAATCATAGAATAGTTAGGGTTGGAAAGGACCTTAAGATCATCTAGTTCCGACCCTCCCTGCCATGGACAGGGACCCCTCGCACTAAACCATGTCACCCAAGACTCCATCCAACCTGGCCTTGAACACTGTCAGGGGTGGAGCATTCACAACATCCTTGGGCAACCCATTCCAGTGCCTCACCACCCTTACAGTAAAGAATTTCCTCTTTATATCCTATCTAAACTTCCCCTGTTTAAACCTATTCCTCCTTGTCCTGTTGCTACAGTCCCTCTATTTGCATCCTTGTAGGCCCCCTTCAGATACTAGAAGGCTGCTATGAGGTCTCCACACAGCTTCTCTTCTGGCTGAACAGGCCCAACCTTCTCGGCTCGCCTTCACAGGGGAGGTGCTCAAGCCCCCTTATCATCCTCATGACCTCCTCTGGACTTGCTCCAACACCTCCATGGCCTCCTCATGTTAAGAATACTTTTTAAATGAGTTTCCAAGAATCCTGAGTGGCCAAAGAGAGAGCAAGAGCACATGGCTTGGTGATTCATTATTGGTATTATCAGTGGGGGAATTCCTGAAGAGTTTTAATGGTCTGCTAAGAGTGTGAAAGGTAAACCGGGTGATAAAGGGACTGGGATTGAATTTCTTACAACTCCATGTACAGGGTGGGAGCTCTGTGGACTGCTCTTGTTGATAATGTGCTGATGTATACAGGACCTGGGCATGCAGCTTGTCTGATTAACGGTATCAATACCCTGTTGTGTGTAATCCTAAACAAGTTACTGTGGTTCAGCTGCCTGGTCATAACAGTTGAACTGTGCTATTAATATGGTAAGTGTGAGGAAGCTTACTTGTTTTTAGCTGAGAGGAGTAAAATTACTGCTAGTGTTTGCACAGTATTGTGTGACACTAAAGTGAGAATTGTGCACAAGGATGGTAGAACAGCTCACTGATGGTAACTTGTGCGTTGCATTTTCCTTATTCTCTAAGATATTACGTTTTTTAGCTAATGATACTCTGATACAAAAAGTCAAGAAACAGACATGGGAAGGAGCTGTATGTGATTTTATAGTCTCAACCACTATCAGCTGGCTGTTAACTAAAATCCCAATAAGTTATTTGTGGAATTTAGCTGATCACTAATGGAATAACACAGCAGAAATTTACAGCACTAAACACATCATTTGAAAGATTTTTTTTAAAAAAAAACAAACAAACAAACCAAAGAAGCCCACATAGCAAATCCCACAAACTTCATTTGACAAAATTATTAGCAGTTCAGCTGTCAGAAGGCTAAATAAAATAAGGGTGGCTGTATAGAGTGGAATAAATAGTTTGGTGATATAGTTCCTTTTTTAAAGAGGCATGTTGTTTGTAATAGAACTTTAACCAAAATTCCAGCAACACTAAATACTTGGGGGGTTTCAGTAGGGTCTATAGCTATTGCAGCAGGGACAGTATCTTGGAAACAGGAGATTTCTACACTTGGTAAAAAGGCGTGATATAATTCTTGGCTTGGATTAAGAGGGAAGCAGTAGGAGTAAGGGAATAGGAGCACTGTATAGTCCGTGATGATGAGGCTGCTTAATGAAATACTGTATGCAGTTCTGCTGCCAAGTTTTCAGAGGGATTTTGAAAAACTGGGCAGGATGCAAACAGCAATTGCAAAACTCAGTTGAACGAGGGAATAGACTGACATGAAATGAAAACTGGCAGCTTAAAGTAGCTATTCTTCAAGTTACTTACCGCAGCTACTCAATAAACTGCCATTTCCATGGCAGAAAGTGGCTCACAAATTTGCTTACCAACTGCAGGAACTGGCTGGCAATTTAAACTTGCTGCTGTATGAAAGCTGAAACTCCTTGAATAGCAGCCTGTTTTACTTCTCAAAGACTATGGAGCTCTGTTAGCATGTATCCTGCGGCCATGAAAATATGGGATGCTAAAAGGCATTCTGTTCTAGCAGGAGGGTCAATAACTAGAGCTAGAAGCTGAAGCCATACCAACTCGAAGGAGAAGCTTTATAGGAGAATAGTTCACTATTGGAGCAAGTTAGTAAGAAATGACTTAAAGTCTTGGTGTCTTTTAGTATCTTGATGAAATCAAATTAGCATGGACCAGACTGAAAGATGCTAAGCGTGGTTTACTTAAAAACTAACATTGGGACAGCTGGCTGAAACTGGAAGATATGTGGTATGGGGAAAGTCTGAGGTGATACAGAAATTATAATTAAGATTTTTAAACTCTTTAATTATGATTAAAGTGCTCTTTGGGAGAAAATAGTGCCCAAGGGTCATTCTGAAGCTGTTGCTTACTCTTTTCTTTAAAGATGGGGTGGGGGATGAGGTAAAGTTGTGTTGCAGTAGCTGTGGTGGACTGAGAATGATGGAAAATATTCTTGGTTACAGTAGCCGCTGTTAGCAGTGCAGGGAACTGGATGTTATAAAAACAGGGCTGTTTGTGAGCAAATGCCAAACTTGAGACTTTTATGTGAAGAAAATGATAGTGTTTATAGAGAGACAGTAGTATCTATGTATACAATGTGGGTAGAAAACCTGGGAAGCATTAGTACCGAAAGATTAAAGGAAGATACTATCTTTATTGCCCCAATGTGATTTGTAGCTTCAACTCTGTCTGCAGAGGAACTGGATTGCGGGGAGGAGGTGGTCCTGGTTAAATCATGACAGAGGTAAAAGCCCATGCCTTCGTGGATATGAAGAAAGCCTCTCGGCTGGCAGGGCTTTTTGCTTTCAAAGCAGATGCCATTCACAGCTAACAAAGTAGAGATTTAAGAGTTTATTTGCTACTCCCTTATAGAGGCACAATAAGAAAATCGAATACCAAAAGATCCTCAAACTGAAGCTTGTATTTAATCTGCACAATTGTAAATTTGGAATGATAATGTATATAGTGTAAAGAAGTGGTTTAGAATCAACCATGAATTTTAATTTATAGCTTCTGTCATTAAATT